CATGTCGAACATCTCATAGTACTGCATGGAGAAAACTTCAAGAGCAGCTACTATATCCGTATCATTTGCAACGTGTGCAAGGTCTTTCGCCCTCTGATCACTCACCACAGGAAAACTTCTGTCGATAGTTTATTGCACAATCTGTTGTTTATTTCTTTAGTCTTGTTTACAGGTGAGGGAAGATATGAAAGAGATGGAATAACAAATTTATACAACCAACATTTGTGGGAGTATCGGAATCCTCATAGAGGCTAGACAACAGCATCAGTTTACGAGTAATGTGTACGCTGGAATTGTAGCCGACTGTCCATATATTCTCCCAGCATGTCTTTCACGTGCTGTCTAAAGGGACTTTATTTCGAACACACTTCCAGACCTGTTAATGGATGTATCCATGCTAATATGAAAACACGTGTGCTTCATGCATGATGGGACTCCAGCACATTTTAGTCACATTGTTCGCGATACAATGGCTGACATCTACCATGATAGATGGATAGGTAGGGAAGGAGCAGTTCCATGTCATGCACGCCCCCCCCCCGACATCAATGCTTTGGATTTTTATATGTAGAACCACCTATAACAATTGATTTATACAGCAGACATTAATAATGCAGAGACGCTTCACCAACGTGTCATGGGGGCCTGCGAAACCATTTGACACCGTGTAGAATTATTTGAAAAGGTCCGCCAGTCAATGATCCGACGTGTGTATATGTGTGTAGAAGCAAGCGGAGGACATTTTGAACATTTATTATGAGTTGCTGTGTGAACATTTTACATTGTTTTGCTGTCAGTATTTTTGGATTGTACATTTAATAGCGTCTACCGTAAAATTTAAACGTAATAACTCAAAGACGAATGATTTGCGGACATATGTTTATATGGACCTTTTTCTTTGTTTTGGTGTGAGGAATCCGCTCCATGTTTGCAGACGTATTTTTGATACACCCTGTAAATATATATCTCCAAAATTCGTTAAAAATAAGCACTCACAATGGAAAATGCCATAAACTTAATAAAATCGTCAAAACCTTTATGTTATTATTAAAAGGAAAGAGCAAACGATTTTTTTGATTATTAAATTATATTTTTTTATCCTTTTTAGAACCTTTGACCATTTGGCTAAAAAATTAGATTTTCTTGCGTCAGCGGGTGACCATATATTAGTATGGGTTGTTGAGGTAGATATATTGAGCTGTGTTTTGGACATGTGTTTATTTGGACTTTTTAACTTGCTTTAGTGTCAGGAACCCGCCCCCAGTGTATGTAAAGGTATTTTGGGATTGTATCTTAGAATATACATTTAACAACGACTACCGTAAACTTTAAACTTAATAACTCAAAAACGAAGCGTTTGTGGATATATGTTTATATGGACTTTTGTCCTAGTTTTGTTGTGAGGAACGCACTCCCAAAGTTTATAAAATATTTTCGACACACCCTGTATATATGTATATATATATATATATATATATATATATATATTAAAAGCAAAAAAGCATCCATTTCAACGCCTCTAAGACGTTCAAATGGAAATCTCAATGCGCCTTCTTCAGAAATGTCTTTGCTTTAGGACGCAGCATACTTAAGACGATTTAATAAGCGTCCAGCTATTGCAGACCCGTATGTATCGATATGTATTGATATACTTATATAAATTATCGCTTTGTTTTATTTTTCAAACTTTCTCCTCTACATACTGACTTATTCTTATTTTCAACGTTTAAATTGTTCTACCATATAATCAGCACCACATTGACATTAAAACTATAAATAACGGAAAGAATATGATGGGAGGCAGAACATCCTTCCGACTGGGCAGTAAATCCAATATAGGGATTTGCAGATAAATAGATAAAAACAGATAAATGGTAGAAAATTATATTTTTGATTTCCTGGAAGGGTGATTTTTGAAAAATGTAGGAAAACTCCTGCGAGACATGGGAAACATCGGTTAATTTGGAACATTGTTTCATTCGTTCAGATTCTTTGAATTTGGTTTTGCTATTTCGTATACTACTTCAGTTGTCAGAACAGGCAATTGAAATTTCATGAATATTATTGTATTTATGTTATATATTGGGGAGTGCCTGAAAATAACACCCACAGATTGACCCAAGCCTTGTTGTGAGTGAAATTAGGTGCTCGGAATCCGTCGATTTGTGCTAGCACAAAGTCACAAGTAATTGTGATTGAATGTTTGTGGCCATTGCCCTTATTCAAAAGGTTCATAACGCCACATTGTGCGGTCTGTCCCAGAAATTGTAGCTAATGTTCGCTCAGCATAGTTGGAGGGTAAAACAAAAGGTGGACTCTGTGGATGTTGAACGCACAAAAAATGTGCTTGAGCTGGCGCCTGCAACAAGGATCATCTCGCCACTCAAGCAGCTAGACATAGACGGATATGAGCGGGTAGCCACACAATATATATATACATCTATCTATCTATCTATCTATCTATCTATCTATCTATCTATATATATATATATATATATAT